TCACATTTTTGAAGTAATCACATTCGTTTTCAACATATCGTGTAAGTGCCAATTTATTTTTTGGTAAAATCTCAAAATATAATTGACATGCTTTAGGACATGATTCAAAAATTCGTTTTATATGTTTATGCGACAGTTTGTCTACGATACTTGAGAATTCACTTAGTATGAATTCATTGGAACAATGCCAGAAAAACTTCACGGCGTATTCGAAATTATTTTTGTAATAGTTATAAAACTCGCAATTTCTCTCGGTATCTTTTAAATTCAAGTGCAACCAATTTTTCATTTTATTTACAGCTGGTAAAGTCATTTCTGGATAAACGTAACTCTCGAGATGAGAAGGATTGATTATATTGCTATATTGTGGCTCCAGCAGCCACAAACATTTCAGACATCTACTAACGTAGAGCATATTGTCATCTTTTAGATTTTGCAGAATAAAGTCGACAAGTCTAGATTTAGACGCTAGATCAATTTTGAATATTCGGTCAATCGGTGAGTTTTCTGGTAAATTAATTACATCTTGAACGCAGAGGTTTTCTTCAAAAGCTTGATGGACCAAATCGTTCAGATTACGATGTCGATCCTTGAGGTTGGAGCCTAATAAGATGACTGGAGTGTACACGACCATCTGCAAAAATCTAGTTCTATGACATCTACTAATACGTAGTGCATGTAAATCGTTTAAAGAGTATAGCCGGATAAGCATATCGAATCGGCCCCGTAATGGCAACGGATATCGAAACTTATGTGTCATTAAGGCTTAATGTAAAAAAGCCATTCATGTGAGTTGCACTGCCGTACTCCGCTTTGACCTGGAGATATGAAAAAATGGGCGTAACTATGAGTTGCGTTCAAAATGCCATATCTCGGAAATCTAAAAAGATGGAAACTTAAAACATATGGGAGGTTTTAGGTAATCTAATTTACTCAGGTTAAAAAAAAAAATTACTGAGATTTTAAAATTCGATAAAAAATGTAAATACATTATTTTTCTCAAAAAGTAACACATGGTTGTTTTTGTTTCATTATGTAGAAAAATAAAAAATATATATAGAAAAAATTTAATTATTTATAACAAATTGTTGATTAAATCAACAATGAAAATATATATATATATTTTTAAATTGATAACAAAATGAAAAATAAAGTATTTTTTAAATTTTCCAACGTGCATCTCTGCTGAAGCCTTTCAGAAATCCCAAAAAATGAAAAAAATCTTAGATTTGTTATTTAATAATTATCGCACTTGCAATGTTCATGTTCAAGTAGGAAAAACATGTTAATTACCTAATGTATAATTAATAAAAAAAATCGCGACAAAAAATTGTTCATTCCTCTATCCAGTAGATGTCTGATTTTTTTCAATTCTTAATTTTCATAAGAAATAAGTTTAAATAATATTTATTCATAAATAATAAAGGTCCAAGGACGACGGGGCTTGTTTTCGGCCGTATTTTCAACCTTCTGGGAAAATTATAAATATTGGTTCTACAGTTCCGGGAGGTAAAGCTTTTTGGGAAATTTCCTCCTTTTTTTTAATCTTTTTTTAAATTTTAAAAATGTCAAATAGCTTTTGAGATATTTGCAAAACACCAAACCCCATTTTTTTCAGTTAATTGTTAATAACTTTTGCAATTTTTGTAAGCGGCACTTGAATTTTTTCAAAAATCATCCACATGCTATTCCTAATCGATTGACACCTCGTTCATATTTTTCGGAGGTGGAGAAAAAACTTGGACCCAAAAAGCACTTGTTGACTAAACTAAAAGCGGAGTGCAGCAGTGAAACTCATGTGAATCGCTTTTCTATGTCAACCCTTAACGACACATAATTTTCGATATCGGTTGCCATTAGGAGGCCGATTCGATACGCTTATCCGACTAGCACCTTTGTAACATTTATACTTCTCACATTAAATTCCAACATTAAATTAATTATCACATTAAATTACAAATTAGTCTAGATAAATATATAATAAGTTAATATACAACATAGACCGCATAAATTCTATTTGAGTTCCATATTAAAACGTCTGAAAATAAAATAAATTGTTGCTGGGCTATTTTAGATTTTACTCTGACTTTGACTTTGGAGGGTTACAATACCAAAAACAAAATTTATACTTATTTAATATTTATGTGCGCCCGTTTCCGCCTATCAAAATTTAGACCTTCAAGAATGTCATTTTTATGCTTTATCAATTTAAGCTGTAAAAATCTTACTTTTCAAGATATTTATACGTTTGAGACGGCATTTCGGGAAAACCTAATATTTTTAATTAATATTAGCCCGATAAAAATTCGCTGACTAATAAAATACCTGAAATACGAGGGTTTTTTTTACAATTATGCGTTTATTAACTAACTTCAGTGTTTTGATTGTTTGATGTAAGCATCTAATCTTTCTCAGAATTTAAGTGTACATATCGTAGAAGAAATAATGCCAAAAATCAACTCGGATAAACTTCCGAAAAGCGCATACCACCGATGAATCTAAAATTTAGTATAATAACGTATTTTGACCTCCTAGTCACGAATATCATAACGAAAATTGACGCAAATGCCATTTTAAATATGAAAAACGAAGGAGAACATACCCTTTCTGTGAAAGCTAAAATAGTCTAAATCGGTTAGGAATTCACGATTATGCGCACCGAACGAAAAGAGGTACTCCTTCGTTTTTCATATTCAAAACTAGCGGCTCACCCTCGCTTCGCTCGGGTTCGCCTCTAGAAAAACACTAATAGAGATCTATTAGTTCCCACGGGAACCGTTCATTTTTCCCGGATGTATTTGAGCGTTTTCCAAAATTCAACCCCTAAAAGGGGAAAATAGGGGAAGTTTGTATGAAACCTAAGTTTTTAGAGATTTTATTTGTAGTTTTAGCGCGAGCGAAGCTTAGTAATAAAAAAAAATATCTGTATTGTTCCAGTGTTACAGTAGGTTAAACTAATTTAAAAGCAAATATAACTTTCAATGTGAAAATATGGAAATATGTAAAAATTATCTATGCAGGTAATAAATGATTGAAAAAAAAAATAACTTTAAACTTTTGTATAGTATTAAAACATCAATTATTATCAATTTAGTATTTAGCATCAGAAAATTTTGATATAGTCAATATTGTAAGACTAAAAGCTAAGATTTTAAAAAAATATGTTTTAATAGAGTCAGTTAAAAAATGCAAAAAATGTAAAAAGATCACGTCACGTATTTCAGCATCCTGTCATTAATGACAGGTATTCCACTCAGCAATTTTTTCTCGGGTACATAATAATTTTAGCTTTCCTTCTTCTCAAACGTATAGATAGATTTATCTTGAATAGTAAAATGTTTACAGCTAAAATTAATAAGGCATAAAAATGACATTTCTTGAAAGTCTAAATTCAGATAGGCAGAAACGGGCGCATACAAAAATAAAAATTAAGCGTAAATTTTGTTCTTTGGGATCCTAAGGAAAAGTCCCTCAAAGTTAGAGCAAAATCTAAAATTAGTTTACTTTGCCAATCAGTCGATTTCATATGGAATGACTCATTCATCATTAGGATATATGTACTTACCTTGTACACTATAGTTTACTAATGAAGAAAATAACCAAAACTAGTTGGACACTCGGTCTATTTCAAGTTTCCGTTTTGACTAGTACTCTAATGGCCTTAAAATGATGTTTATCATGGATGACAAATAAAAATGTTTATTTGTGGTTTGCCGCTATGAAAATTTCGGCAAAACCGGTTACCGGCAACAATCCACCACAGGTTATATCTATCACCATAGAGTATATTGCTACGTATATAAATCTATCACAAACCAGAAACAACAAAATAAAAATAATCAGCCAAACTCCGTAGATAAGATTGTGCACTATAGTAATTTGTAGTGTAGTAATTTGACTATATAAACGTATTGTATATAGAGAAAAATCGATATCTACCCATAACTTAAATGCCATTCGTATTGATCTTCTTTCTGACTTTCACTTATTTATTTATTAATATTATCAACAGAAATGATAACAGTAATACAAAGATAATTTACATAATAAATTAAACACAGTATAATTGTATTTCTTTTTAGAGGTAATCACAACATGCGTAGAAACAAAAGAAACAGTGACAAACTTCGCAGTTGTAATTCTAATAAAAATACATACAACATCAAAATTAATCTTTTTCAAAGTTTCATTCCAATACCTACTCTAAATGGTTATAATTTAAGGACAAGGCATTACTTAATTAAATTACTTCTAACATGACCAGAACCTTTCAAACTTTCAAATAAATCATTTATAAAAGAAATAATATTGGCAGTGAAAAAGCCATCATCGATGTTTACTTTATTATGAATAAAATATAAGTTTGCTATTATATAAAAATAAAACAAATATTTGATCAGTAAAAAAAATTTATTCATCCACTCATCTGTTAATTGGTAAATATTTACTATAAAATTAATCATATTATATCATCAACTAGGTTAGACTATTAAAAGTTAGTAATTAAAAAGTTGTTTATATTAAAAAACGATAATAAAACAGCCAAACTTTTTGCTTTGTAACTATTGACTTTGTACTGACAATGAGTATCTTTTGATATTTAAAAAATATTTAAGATCTAAACTCTAAAGTATAAAAATCTTATGACTAAATGAGGAAATATGCTTATGTGGACTTTTCTTTCATCCATACAGGCTGTAATTTTTTTACACCAAGATATTTCGTGTTCAGGAAACAGAGGATCCTTTTTAACTTAGTACATCAAATGATGTGATCAAGATTAATTGTTAGATGTTTATTGGGCTTTCATTTTGTTAAAAAACATTTCATAAGTTTATTACTCGCAAAGCTTTATTTGGAACTTTTAATGCAGTTGATAGGTATTTTAAGTAAACTGTTTGTTTTACAATGCACCATCTATGGTGTAAAGTTAAGAGATTAATGCGAGTATAAGCAATGAGGTAATAACAGGCATAAGATTAATAAATAATCTCGCTTCAGTTATAATTTGAATAAAACATAGGAAAGACATCTGAACATAATAAAAATTTTACTTCATCGTTATTCCATTCCAGGAACATTTTTAATATTTCGTCATGATAAGATTTTTCAATGAACTGATAGGATTGTTTGAACAAATTTTGTGCTATAATAGTGGCGTCGGTGGAATTGACTTCTAACAGACCTTTGATAACACACGCTACATATAATCCTCTATTATTACCACGATAAAGTACGAAATATTCTTGTAAGTATTTTTGCAAAACATCCGCATACAAGCTCACGATAGATCGGAAATATTTGGATACCAACTCTTTGATTTCAAATCCAATGTATTTTCCAAACAATTTTCCAACTATCTGTACGCATTCTTTTGTCTTTTTGGGATCTTCGAATACGTCCGGTCGTATTTGCAAAACTTGCTTTATCGTCTTATAATAGAGCATAGTCAAGTGTATTTCCACATACTTGGCAAAATATTCTTGAGTTGGCAAAATTTTATGCAGTTTTTTCATAATCCTCTCAAACACAGGTAACAGGTTTATATACTCTTGTCCTAAAAATGCCTTTGTGTATTTTAAACAGAATATAAATTCATATAAATATTTACATATTAGATCATTTTCTGTCTTTGTCGGTGACAAACTCTGAACAGCATCAAAGAACGGGTCACAGACATTATCTAACACATACTTCTGTTGCTGTTCAGATTCGCACAAGAGCAAGCATTTGGCAATAATAGATACGTAATTATATTCGTAATCTTCTTTATTTTCTAAGCAATCTAAGGGATTTAAACGTTTGTTAATGAAATCTGCAACAACTCCATATATAAAACTCTTTTCTATTTCTGGAAGATGGTTTTTCAGGTACTTCAAGTGAACCATATGTATATCATGTTTGAGATAAGTTTTGAACATGACTATATGATAATCTGTCTCAATAGATTTAGGTACAGAAACTAGTTTATTTAACTTTTTAAATAAACGAGTATTTTTTGATAAGTCTTCATTTTTATCTTCCATGATTGACTTAACAGCAGTCCATATGCGGAGATCGACGTCCTTTTGTCTTAAGTATGTAGATAGAGCAACTTTAAGAGCCGCTACAGGTCTTATTGAACAAGCTTGTAAGAAAGTATCAACATCGTGATCAGTCCCATACGCTAAACGAATCGAAATCCTCGCAGTGCGACGCCAATCTAATAATTTCTTAAGATACATTTGACGATCCCTTGCTCTACATATGAATATTTTATTTGCAACTGCTTTAGCTCCTAACCACCGCCAGTTTAACTCGTCAATCTTTATAGGTGGGTTTGTTTTGTGAGCGTTAGCTCTGAATGTCGCTGCCACTTGTTTATTTAATTTATTTTTTGCTTTATCATCGCCTTGACCATCTAACTCCGAAAGACGTGACAAAAGCCACTTATCAGATGATAAAATGCATAAAGAGCGCGCCACTATTGACTTGGGTTCGACTTTTAACTGTTCATCTAGAGCATATTTATGCATTTCTGCTAAACCACCGGGCTCACTAAAGTATAAAGACAAAGAGTGTAAAAAATTATCGAATTTTAAGCGTTCTTTTTCTTGAACTAATGAAACAAAAGCTTTGCCTTGTTCAAGTGGTGATATATCATGTCGTAACACATTCATGTATGCTGCTTCAGACTGTTCCGTGGTAAATATTTCACGAAACAACTCTCGACGTAGTATTTTACTATGATAGAGACTTCTTACTAAATTTGAGTCTTCTTTTGCCAGTTTGACGAGCACGGGCTTCGCTTCAGGAAAGTCGTCTATGCTTACGTTATATTCTTTGAGAGCCCTTATAAAAGCATCGGGATTTGATGGTAAAAAAAGAGGTGGTAATTGTTTCGCAATAAGACTTTTTTCACTTTTACTTAATTTATATTCTGTTAGCAATGAATCTTCGCGTAGAAATCCTGTTAATACATTTGGAGGAACCGGAGCACATGCTAAGAGGTATCGTATGATAACAGCATGGAGACCTTCACGGCAGAAATGTTCCGCAATAAGGCCATCGAGACCTAAATTTCGACCAAAGTCCAATAACAGGTTCCAAGAATTTTCTGGTAAACGCCAAATGCACTGTCTGTTAACGAAAGACCTGATCACCGCCGCTCTGAGCGTGGTTGGCTCGTTCAGATGTCTTTGAACTAAAAAGGATAGCAGCTTTTCAACATGATCTGACACACCTCCGCTTTTACTAACAAGAACCAACATTATGTTCAATCTTCCCGGAATCGAACTTTCTGTTAAAAGTTTCAATTTTAACTCATTGTATGTTTGTTCAAATCCCATAAAGCGATATCTATCAAATAATAAATCTAAAGGAGATTTTCCCATGGATAATATTTCGCATTGACTATAAAACTTACCATATTTTTTCTTAATTGTACGTTTACCAAGACGTCTATATGAACACCACTCATGTTCAACGTCTAAAAGAAAATCATTTTTTTCTTCTACTTCTAGTTTAAAAGGCACCGGTATTTCATAGGGCCATTCTTTGATTCTCTGGTCGATAGATTTGTCTACAAATATTTGTTTCTTAAACTTAGCTCTTTCTTCTACTCTAACGCGCTTTATTAAAGGCTCTACAGCCTTATAGGTAAACCAATGTTCAAGATACGAAGCTCTCGCTAGCTTTAGGACGAGTTCTTTAGCGTCGTCGCTCTTCAAAGTGGCAGCTAACGTGTTCATGTGAAGGATACAAGAAGCATATAACTCAATTTTCGCAAAAATTCTATCTTTGCAATTTTTCAACACATATTGAGTTGTCATAGAATTAAACGGCTCTGACCGATCTTTGTTAAAATATTTCTCGATAATATTCAAATACATATCGGTATCCCATTTTAGAAGACATTTCACATTTTTGAAGTAATCAGATTCGTTTTCAACATATCGTGTAAGTGCCAATTTATTTTTTGGTAAAATCTCAAAATATAATTGACATGCTTTAGGACATGATTCAAAAATTCGTTTTATATGTTTATGCGACAGTTTGTCTACGATACTTGAGAATTCACTTAGTATGAATTCATTGGAACAATGCCAGAAAAACTTCACGGCGTACTCGAAATTATTTTTGTAATAGTTATAAAACTCGCAATTTCTCTCGGTATCTTTTAAATTCAAGTGCAACCAATTTTTCATTTTATTTATAGCAGGTAAAGTCATTTCTGGATAAACGTAACTCTCGAGATGAGAAGGATTGATTATATTGCTATATTGTGGCTCCAGCAACCACATACATTTCAGACATCTGCTGATATAAAGCATATTGTCGTCTTTTAGATTTTGCAGGATAAAGTCGACATATCTATATTTAGACGCTAGATCAATTTTGAATATTCGGTCAATCGGTGAGTTTTCATGTAAATTGATTACATCTTCAACGCAGAGGTTTTCCTCGAAAGCGTGTTGGACTAAATTGTTCAGGTTACGATGTCGATCCTTGAGGTTGGATCCCGATAAGACGACTGGAGTGTACACGGCCATCTGCAAAAGTTCTAGTTCTATGATATCTACTAACACACTACTAAATCTTTTAAAGAGTCTAGCCGGGTAAGCATGGCGAATCGGCATATTTAGTGCGCGTTGAGTTTTTTTTTAAATATTACATTGATTTTTCCAAACGATTTTTAATGAGTTTTTTTGTACATCAAATAACATAACATATATGTTTTCAGTGATTGTATACCTCAAGATACACTGAAATAATATTTTTTATTTTGTTTTTTTAAAAGCGTTGAAAATATTTCACAAATCTAAAAAAATATATCCAAGGTTACCAAAAACCACAACCCCAAAGTTTCAATATAGGTTGCCATTAGGGTGCGGATTCACTATTCTTATCCGGCTAGACTCTGTGTAATATTTATACTTCTGACATACAAATTTAAGGATTTAAATATAGTCTAGATAAATATATAAATATATTAACATACTACATAGACCATACAAAACTATTTATCATTAAGATATTATATGTACTTACCTTGTACACTATTGTTTACTAATGGAGGAAATAATCAAAATAATTGGAGACACTTGGTCTATTTTAAGTTTCCATTTTGACTACTGTATAGATGATGTTAATTTATGGTTTGCCGCGATGAGAATATTTGCAAAACCGACTCCAACCGACTACAGATTATATCTAGGATACCTATTTATTATGATTTAAAATAAAAAATGTTGCGATTTAGTGAAATAAGAGTGTTCGTTTGAATAATTATGTACAATAATGGGCTAAACATTTTATTGTATAAAATTATTAAAAAAATCAACCTTTACTAATTAATATTATATTCGTCTTATAAACTCCTATTTTTATCTGTCTTTTACAGTGTATCAATATGTTTCTTTGTTTCATAATTTTCTTCATTTTTATTTTATCTATTCATAACTCTTTTTTATTTTGTTGTTACTTGTTAATAAATGTCACAATGAAATGTTACTTCAACGTCAAACGTAATGTTTTCATGATATCTAATTAAATCAAATTAATAATTAATTGAAAATACAATTCCAGGAACATGGATAGCAAAACAGATGATCAAATTATTCTATCAGCCTTAAAATTTTTATGTGGAGAATATAAACACGTTTGTAGGTTATGTTTACGTTTTACCAGTAACGAAATTTGTTTGGATGATACTGTTGCTATACAAGCATCTTATTGTAATAACAACTCTATTTCATATTATTCTATGTTAGAAGATTTAAATGTAAGTATACATAGGTATTTATAAATGAATTGTTTTGCGAGTTGATATTAAGTGATAACTGATAACACAGTTAATAAGTTATAATCTCAATTTATAGGTACTCAAGGAACCGCTTCTACCACATATACTGTGTGAAAGCTGTGCAGGCATTACCATCAACTCTTACATATTTCTTAAACTTAGACAATTTGCTATTGACAAATGGAATAATGTTTTAAACATCCTAAATATGTCATTGTCACAATCAAATCCTATAGAATCTCCCAATCAGACAGCTTACCTAATCTTGAACAAAAATGACAACTTATTATTGCAAAGTTGCAAGAGTTATGGTGCAACACCTAAAAAAGTAGCAGTTCTGAAGGACATCATGAGTTGTTGTCGTAGATACATTCAAGAGAAGCGTAAATTGCGAGAGTTTCAATGTGATGAATGCGATAAGAGGTTTAGCTGTCATGATTACTTGACAAAACATAAAAAACTTCATAATCGATCCCCTAACCCATGTCCAAAATGTTTAAAGGTATTTTTAACAACTACTCAGCTGGCAGAGCATATGGAAAGAGTGCATTATCCAAAAACAATACAATGTTCTAAATGTTCGAGAAAATTTGGGACACAGAAAATATTAAAAGCGCACCAGAGGATGCATCACACACCTGCAATGTGTAAATTTTGTAACATTGATTTTCCATCGCGCTTAGAATTAAGAGCCCATATGGATAAACATGGGGCTGCTACATGTCAAACATGTAACAAAAAGTTTTCATCTCAACATACATATAAAGTACATTTGAAAAGTTGTGGTGAAAAGGGTAAAGTTAGGGAGAAATATATTTGTGATTTCTGTAACAAATGTTATTCCAGTAAAAATGGGCTAATCACCCATTTGAAAATAGACCATGGTTTTGCCAAAAAAGTATTAACTTGCAAGTGGTGTAATAAGAAATTTGATGCGATTAGTAGATTGAACAACCACATTGTGACTCATACTAAAGAGAAAAAATTTCACTGTGAGCAATGTGGGGGAATGTTTGTGACACAAGCAGCCCTTACATATCACATAAGACTCCACACTGGTGAAAGACCCTACCCTTGTGATATGTGCGATGAAAGCTTCTTATCATCATCTAGGAGAATGGAACACAAAAGACGAAAACATATTGGTCCTACAAAAGAATGTAGCTTATGTGAAATGAAGTTCCTCACTCAGTTTCAATTACGAAAACACATTAAAAGACATTTTAATCCAAGCAGCAAACTATATATTACAGAGACCGATCATTACTTTCCAAAGCGAGTCAGACAACCACATTCATTTACATTGTCTAAAAATGATTGCAAATAATTAATCAGCATATCTTATTAAGATCTTAAATATATAATGTATAGACGGTCATATTGATTCACAAATATACCTATAAATCTTATGTTAAAATAAAATATTTGTACAATATTCATTTTTTTTATACCTGTCTGTTCAAGTAACATTCTGCAACATTTAGCAACTTCATATTGAACCTGAGTTTTTAATGCAATATAATATATCTAAGAGAAAAATAAATAAGATTTTTTTTATTTATTATGTACAATATAAGACAATAAGCATACAATTTCATATATCCAACATAATATGTATAATGTAACCAAAATGGTTTGTAAATCCATTAAAAATCAATTTTCAGTTTCAATTATAAACCTTCTCATGTTTTGTTCTACGGGCAGGTTTGGTGGAATCATATTCCTGCCATAATACAATTTGCTTGTAGGGTCATGATGTCTACTAATATGTTGTTTCAAGAAATGAGTAGTAACAAACTTTCTGGAACAAATCTCACACATTAGGGTTGGCCCTACATGTTTAAATTTAATATGTTCAGCTCTAGCAGAAGCATTAACAAATCTTTCATTACATATCTTGCAACTATAAGGCTTTTCTCCAGTGTGACGTCTGGTGTGATATAATAAAGCCTCTTTAGAAACAAATCTACTGCTACAGATATGACATTTGAAATTCTTTTCCCCAGTATGCTTTACCATATGTACTTTTAAATAGCTGGGTGCTGTAAACTTTTTTCCACACTCCTTACATACATGGGGCTTAGCATTTCCATGAGCAAATCTATTGTGTACTCTTAAACCTCCTGGGGTACTGTACGCTTTATCACACTTCTCACAAGTAAATGACTTTTCCATTGTACTTCTTATAGGATGAGGATCAATTAAATTATTAAGGCACAAGTTCACATGCTTCTCATAAAATTCTTTAGTTGTATAACTTTTGCCACATTTTGGACATGCACTCTTTGATTTATGTTTTTCTTCATGTATTTGTAACTTGTCTAAGCCATGGCATGGTTTCCCACACTCTTTACAGACATATACATTGTGTTCATGATCATGATGGTCTTTCAAGGCTTCCTCTGTACTTCTATATTGAGGACAGTCCGGACATTTGAACTTATGACCGTGAATCTCATGAGAAATCAAATCGTCATCATTTCTAAATGTTTCCATACATTTGTCACAAGTCAAAATGCCATGAACTGCAAGATTATGGGCTTTGACATCTTCAAAAGTTTCAAAACACTCATCGCAAGATTGACATTCATAAGGTTTTTTAGTTATATGAGGTTTGTGCTTCTTTTGTGGTTTGTCAACAATGAGTATTCTGGATTGTAAATCATCGATTACCATATATACAGTTTTGTTCTTATCTTCAATGTCAATATCAGAATTTAAAGTATTAGATATATTTTGAAACACTTGCTTTAAAATATCTGAAGAGTTCTGACATTTTTCTATAAAACGAAGGGATATGAGTGCAGTATTAACGCAGTCCGTACATACAGCTTCAATACCAGTAATTTCATCACATACCTATAAAACAAAAAGTTTTAAGAAGAAATACAGCTGATGTGAAATGACTTTTTTTTTTTTTAAATTACTTACATTTTCACCAAGTAATTTCGTTAGAATATGAGACAGTGGCTGAAAAATACGGCTTGATGGATTTAACGAGACAGGATCATCGAAACGCACGTATTGTTCTTTAATAAACTTTAAGCATAACCTACAATGGCTGTAGCGTTTTTCATTCAAAACATTTGCCACAATTATATTTAGATTCGAATCTTCCTGCATTGTTATTTACATAAGAAAATCTTAAATATTTTGTTAACTTGATTCAAATTAATTTAATCTAAAAATACGCGCGCTTTTAACACTTTTCGTTCAAGAATTCGATGTAAAATTAGCAACCGTGCGCCATTTTATGTCAAATAAGAAGTCTTTAGTCAGTAATTTAGATTCCTATATGCAGCTTTAAATTAATTTAATAAAGGATTTATAATTGATAACAGATATTTATATTACTTTATCATATTATAAAATTAAATGCTAGCTGTACATAATTAAAAGATTTCTTAAATTTGCAAAATATTCTGTAGGGATGCCATAAGAAAAATATAAACTTATTACTTTTGAACTCTTGTATTACAATTTTATTTACTAATATTTTTATTATTTTTTATTTATCGTTAAATTTGGAATTTGTAAAGGTAATTTATAATACTAAAGTTGATTTGCATACTCAATTTTGATAGTTGTTATTTAAGATGGCAATTTAATTTTTCTTAAAATGTACTCTACTATTCTATAATATACTCTAATATTCTATATCCTATTGAATGTGGTACAGTAATAATTTAGCCATAAATAAATAAACTTTCGCTACTAAATAATAGTAAGACACTTATTTATAACCATCCATTCACGCAACAAACGATATATATATATATATATATATATATATATATATATATATATATATATACACATATAAATGTGAAATTCAGTTTGTTTGTCCTTCTTTCACGTCAAAACGAAGAGACGGATTGGCGTGATTTTTTGTGTGGAGATAGTTGGAGAACTGCAGAGTGACACAGGCTACTTTTTACCGCGGGAGATTACCTAATTTCCACAGGAAAACACGCTATATATGTGAGTGGGTGTGTTATTTATGATGGAAAAAATTACTTATGGAAATTGGCGAGGGATTATAATAAAAAATATCTATGAACATATTATATAAATATTAAAAATTTGTAATATAAATCCTATTCAAAAGTTACCAATACCAATCTGAATCTAGACCTAATAAACGCTTTTTGGACATAATTTTTCCAACAAATTTCTGAAAAATATTGCTGGCATCATTAAATACTTGTTCAAAATTTAATGAAAATTCAGTTGTCGAACCTAAAAAATAAATAATTTTATTAAAAGATTAATATTGTGACTATTTATTTATAACAACTATTTTGTCTTAAAAACCAACACTATCAGGAAAAAGTAGATTTTTCTAAAAATTTGAGACTACATACGTGAAATAATTACATTACAAAGTCATCAAAGTTAGTTCAATTATGTGTATATATGGTATACTCGTAATATAAAAATACATATTACACACGAATTGAAAACCTCCACCTTTTTTAAGTTGGTTAACATAATACGTACATAGTGATCCCATTATTATTTTATAGTGTAAAGAATCTAAAGATTAAACCTGTAAGTATTTATTGTATGATTTTGAAATAAAACCTCACTGTGTTTAATTATTTCTTGATCATCTTCTTCTATTACATCTTTGGAATGTATTTTATGTATATGAACCTTCGTAGAGCAGACATATTAAATCTTATATATTAAAAACCAGTACTTTATTTAATACAAAAATATTCTATTCTAATTACTTACTATAGCTAATAATAGAATCAAAATGGAGTTTCTAAAAATTTTCAACATTATAAACATGAACGAAATTATAAATTATAATTTGAAAAAAGATATAGTAAAGAAAACTAATTTACAATTTTGCGGTCCTGACATTTGTTAATCATTTAGCCATCTTATTTTATTATATTATAATATCAGGTATAGGTCAGTGTATAGATATTCCTAATAATATAAGTAAAATTTAAAGTAATGAAATACAATTTAAAAGCATTTTAAACGTAAATTAAATATTATGATTCAAAATATTGACCAATAAACTCATCACGAAAATATTTTGTGTATAGGTTGCCTTATCCCTAATCAAAAAAAAAAAGAGATCAGTGTCTATGACATTCAGTCAACAATAAGCAAAATGGCTGAAACTCGTTGGACTACGACAGACGTCCCGTGAAATATGCATTGTATTGAAGTGATAAATGTAAATAAATGTTAAAGTGGAAGTGTTGCGTTTCTTCGTGTGTCTCGTGCTAGTGCACATTCTGTTCGCCTATGAGCTAACCTTGTGATAACACGTAAATAAAGTAAAGTTTTATAAAGAGTGTTTTGTGTCTTGTTTTCACGGTGATCATCAACTTGCTGTCTGTTTTGGATTTATGTTTACTTGGCCACGGTTAGTACCATACATTTTGTTTATTTTCATTCTAAAATAATACTTTAAAATAGTTTAAAACATTTGTGATGCATGTAAATAATTTTAAAAGTTTTGACAGATTTTTTTGTCTCGCACATTTTTGTGTATTTGTCGTGAGCGCGAGCGAGAAAGTGTTAGCAGAGTATGTGGAGTTGTGTCACTCCCTTCAGTAATGGAAAGTGTGTCGTGTATTATTGTTTTGGTGGATGACCTATTACGAAATACTAGATTCATAGAGTTGTCATCGGGTCGGAGGTCATCCGGAGGCAATTGGAGGCCGGCCCTCTAAGATTGACATTAAGCGCGTAGGCTATCGGTCCAGCGTTAGGGGTGACATCATATTTCCTTATTTTAGAAAATATAAAATATTATTTATACATTGTAAAGTGTGACAATTTAGTATGAAAATCAGCTTCTCATTTACTTCCACGTTGACGCCCAAAAAATATTTTATTGTTACGTTTATCAAAGGATGTAAGTAGATTAGGTCAGTGTATGACTTGAGTGATTAAGAGGTGACTAGCAGAAGTTTCAATTACAATATTTAATAAAGTGAAGGGGCAAGACATCTCTAATCTAACCAGCCAAGTTATCAGTAAATAAATAATGTCATAAACAAGCTTTAAATCAAATAATATTATAGATTATAATTTATAACAATTACTATTATTGTAATTGTATAGTCTTTCTCATTGGGGGAAAAAATATTAGGAGTACTTAAATACACTTCCATATTTACAGCCTTAACTTTGTTTTTCCCTAGCTTAAAATTGTATGTATTTAACATTATCATTAAATGATTGTACAGTTTTGTTTAAAGTTATTCATCATTTATTAAATGATTTTTACTAAAATAATAAATATTTGATTAACACCTGACCTTTAAAAATGAGAACAAGAAAACTTCTTTTAACTTATTGCTACTCGAATAATAATGATAAAATTTTGTTGATAAGAGGATTTTGTCATTGTATGTTACATAATAAATATATAAGTGAATATTATTAAAATAAATACATAAGTGATGTGACTGTTCAGTGGCTTTTTGTTTTGTGAATTATGTAAGACAGTAAAGTGATCACTACTTTTTACCACAGTAAAAGTCTCAAACCCCCATGGGATAAAACATTATAATTAATTCAACTTATGATGTTGTTTGTTTGTGTGTTTCTGTATGGAAATAGTTGGGAGTCTTCTAGAGTTACATATGTATGCTTATGTTTACCTGGGAGTGAACCTGAGCATAGCAAGGCTGTAACACTAGTGTATATATATTATTTCTTTTAAAGAAGCATTCTATCATTATTATAATGATTATAATCTGTTTTCTATATATTTGTATTTAATGCCAACCAAACTGTTTGAACAGAAAAGCTAAAATTATAACTGACAATTTTCCATTAACATTGTTATGGGTGGTAAAAATTTCATCTAGGCAATAATATTTTTACCAAATAGACAAAACAAAAAATAAATAGCTGGGTTTAACCAGGATATTCCTTCCAAACTTTAAATATTTTTTTCAAACTTTCTTTTGCTAGACTAAGCATATCATGAATTACTAAACATGAACTGTATTTTTTTTTATTGAAAATTGTAAATGTACAAAAAGGCTATGCACACACAAACACCAACTTTGTAAAACACATATAACAACCTTCTGGTAAAGAAGCCCATCACCCGGGTGTTAGATGATGAAGCAATCTCCTATTTACTGCACATACTTTATGAAGATGCACAGGTTGCAGCAGGTAGTATGAGCTGTGTTATCATTTGCAACATAGAAAAGCATAATCTCTAAAAACTAAATAATCAGTGTACTTACATTGTACTTTATAGTGTGACAATTTTTAGGGTTCCGTACCCAAATGGTAAAACGGGACCCTATTATTTATAGTCCACTCTGTCGCCAGGCTGTATCTCATGAACCGTGATAGTTAGACAGTTGAAGAAATTTTCACAGATTGTGTATTTCTGTTGACACTATAACAACAAATATTAAAAAACAGAATAAAATAAATATTTAAGGGGGCTCTCATACAACAAACATGATATTTTTGCTTGTTTTTGCTCGATATTGATAACGGCAGCAGATAGACGCTTAAAATATTGACAGAATACTTAGTTACATATTCACTTTAAAAATAAATAATTAAATTAAAATAAATCAAATATTTAAGGGGGGCTCCAATACAACAAACGTAATTTGTTTTTGCCATTTTTTTAGATAATGGTACGGAACCCTTCGTGCGCGAGTCCGACTCGCACTTGGCCGGTTTTTTATTTAGAATATGTTTTAAATTGACATAATAATGACTATTTCAATAAGATTTTCCAAAAAATATTTAATGTACAGATTGGATTCGATAGAATTTTATTATACGTAAATATAGATTTCTTGATTTAAAATTATAAATCATGAATATTTTATAAAAAAAATCGTTGAATAATTGTAAGATTTTATGAACGTTCTATCTTAATACATTTTAGATATTTTTTTGTTTTTTGGTTCTCTGTTAAGTAAAATTTAGAAGACAATTATTATGGAAATGGTTTTTTAAAAGCATTTTGAAAATTGCATACTCAAAGTGTAGTAAAAAAATCTTAATTATATGCGCATATTTATCTAAATTGTATGTACATGTAAAGTAATCATTCCAGTTGATTGAAATTAGCAAAGATCTCGTGTAACATGCAGTCGAAAAAAGTAGCT